GAAGTTCGAATTGGTGATTTCTATATTGGATCTTTACATCTCTGTCATTTCTTTTAAGAGAACCTGCAAGCACTCATTATTATGCATTTTATGTCATGATCCTGTTTATGCCTAAAATGTGTGCAATGATGCAGTTATTTTGAGGGTATTTTCTTTTCAAACGAGAACTTGCTTTTGTTAACATCCTTGTACTTCAGACTGATTTGGGCATAAAATAATCAACAACAATTCATCTCGATCGAAAATTCTAATTGGAAACTCTTTGGTTGAGCCTGACTCTGATTCTCTTTACTCTTTAAACCCATGTGCTTCTCATGACCCATTATTTAATCAGTGACAAAACCTCTTTAGTTATCCCACATTGTTGAGTAATCGCGTGTATCTCAAGGCTTTAACTTCTTGTGTCCTGACATTGTGTAAGCCTTATGCTAAAACCATTTTCGGCTTCAGAATATCTGTATTTTCCAAAACTTTTTGTACAATAATGCACAATGATCTCATGTTTCCCGAGCTAATCTACATGTTTTTATTTTTAATCAGGATGCTTACAATGCGGTTAAAAACATCTTTTTATTTATAAATAAAGAGTTTTTTGAGTGAATACATGATAAACTTTTAAAAGGAATAATCAAAAGAAAATACAGTAGGCGTCATCAGACATCAATAGTATGAATGCTTTTGAACTGGCATGCCGTAAAAGGACCTGAGTGTAGCTTCTGTCAAGGAGATCTTGAGGATTATGGTAATGCGTAAGGGTGTGAAGTTCCCCCAATACTGCCAAATTCCCGACTGTTGGATGTCATAAGCCAGTGTTTGAATCTCATTTACTTTCTGGTTACCCAAGCTTTTCGATTTCTAGCCCTAACCCATTACTACCATTTCAAGCCTTCAAAACTAATTCAAAACCTCCGCCATGCATGAATTCTGAATTCTCAATTCTCAAGTCGCCCTTTACGGGTTTCAACCTGAGACCTTCTCTGGTTTCAAGACACCCTTTACGGGTTTTCATCTTAAACCCTCCTTTTATTTTTTTTCTTTTCTTTTTTCTCATTTTTCTTTCTTTTTCTTTCATTTTTCATTTTTTTAGTCTTTTTCATTTATTTTTTTCAGGCGAAATATTTATTGAATGCGTCAGCATTCATAGGGTTAGGTAACTCTGGTCCATCCATCTCGGTGAGGATCAAAGCTCCTCCAGAAAAGGCCTTCTTTACCACATAAGGTCCTTCCCAATTTGGCATCCATTTACCTCGAAAATCTTTCTGAACTGACAAAATCTTTCTTAGCACCAAGTCTCCTTCTTGAAACTCTCGTGGACGAACCTTTTTACGTTTCTGGTACATTTGTCCGTGACAGATAGCTTTTAATCTTTTTTCCTCAATCAAGTTCAACTGATCATACCTAGCTTGCACCCATTCTGCTTCATCTAGCTTAACCTCTGACAGCACTCGTAGTGACGGAATCTCGACCTCAATGGGTAACACAGCCTCCATACCATAAACTAAAGAAAACGAAGTTGTCCCAGTGGACATCCTCACTGAAGTTCGATAGGCAAACAGAGCGAATGATAGCTTTTCATGCCAGTCTCTATAAGTCTCAGTCATTTTATGTATGAGCCTCTTGATGTTCTTATTAGCTGCCTCTACCGCTCCATTCATCTTTGGACGATAAGTGGTGGAATTATGATGTTTAATCTGGAACTGTTTACATACTGACTCCATCATCTTATTGTTTAAATTCAAGGCATTATCAGTGATGATCCTTTCTGGTAGCCCATACCGACAAATAATTTCTCTCTTCAGGAACTTGCAAACTGTTGACTGAGTGACATTTGCGTAGGAGGCCGCTTCTACCCACTTAGTGAAGTAGTCTATTGCCATAAATATAAAACGATGGCCATTAGAAGCTTTGGTTGAAATTTGCCCAATGACATCCATGCCCCACATAAAGAATGGCCACGGAGCAGTCATTACGTGCAATGGATGAGGAGGGGTGTGGAGCTTATCTCCATAAATCTGGCATTTGTGACATTTTCTGGAGAAATTGATACAATCAGTTTCCAGGGTTGACCAATAATATCCAAATCTCATTATTTGTTTAGCCATTGTATGTCCATTAGCATGAGTACCACATACTCCTTCATGAACTTCTTCAATAATCGTTATGGCTTCTTTGGCATCCACACATCGTAACAAGACCTGATCATGACTCTTCTTGTACAAGATATCACCATCAAGCACATACCCTACTGCCATTCTTCGAATAGTTCTTTTGTCATTCCCAGTGGCATGCTCAGGGTAACTTTGATATTTAATGTATTGCAGGATGTCGTAATACCATGGATTTCCATCCTTTTCCTCTTCTATGCTATAGCAATGGGCTGGATATTCGTAAGCTTGCATCGTAATAGGCATCATGCTTGAATATTCATTGACTTTATAGGCTGCTGCCAAAGTGGCCAAAGCATCCGCCATTTGATTCTCTTCTCTAGGGAGGTAATGGAATATCACTCGGTCAAATTCTTTAATGAGCTCTAGGACCAACTTACGGTATTCCACCAACTTCGCATCTTTTGTTTCCCATTCACCTCTAAGTTGATAAATTACCAGTGCTGAATCCCCATATACTTTGAGTGTTTTCACTTTACGCTCAATGGCCGCTCTAAGACCCAGAATACATGCTTCATATTCGGCCATGTTATTTGTGCAATCAAAATTCAATCGGCTGGTGAAAGGATAGTGTTTTCCACAAGGTGAGACGAGAATTGCCCCAATCCCATGCCCTAAAGCATTAGAAGCACCATCGAAATTCATCTTCCACTGTTCATTAGTAAAGCAAACTGCATTCTCTATTGAAATAACCATTAAATCTTCGTCTGGAAAATCGAAGTTTAGTGGTTCATACTCTTCAGAAACCCTACTTACAATGAAATCGGCCACAACACTTCCTTTAACTGCTTTTTGGCTTACATATTGGATATCAAATTCTGACAATAAGATTTGCCAATGAGTCAATCTTCCAGATAAAGCAGGTACATCCATTAGATATTTCAGAGGATCAAGTTTAGATATGAGCCAAGTAGAGTGATACAACATATATTGTGTGAGCCTTCGGGTAGTCCAAACTAAAGCACAACACAACTTTTCTATTGGTGAGTACCTTTTCTCGCAATCAGTGAACTTTTTGCTGAGGTAGTAAATTTCTCTTTCTCTTTTTTCAGTTTGATCATGTTTCCCTAATACGCACCCCATTGAATTTTCAAAGATTGACAAGTAGAGGATTAATGGTTTGCCTGATATTGGTGGCATTAAGACTGGAGCATTCAACAAATATCCTTTTATTGCTTCAAAAGCTCCTTGGCAATCATCATTCCATACTCCTGGATTATTTTTACGAAGAATGCGAAAAATAGGATCACACTTCTCGGTTAATTGTGAAATAAATCGGGCAATATAGTTTAATCTTCCCAGGAATCCTCGAACTTCTTTTTTTGTTTGTGGGGGTGGTAAATTTTGAATATTTTTGACCTTGTCAGGATCCACTTCAATCCCTTTTTTGCTTACTACAAACCCCAAGAGTTTTCCCGATGTTACCCCGAAGGTACACTTGCTTGGATTGAGTTTTAACTGGCATTTCCTTAATCTTTGGAAGAGTTTCCTCAGATTCTCGATGTGTTCTTCCTCCGTTTTAGCTTTAACAATCATATCATCGACATAGACCTCTATTTCCTTATGCATCATGTCATGGAATAGTGTTACCATAGCCCTTTGATAGGTTGCCCCTGCATTCTTTAGCCCAAACGACATCACCTTGTAACAGAATATGCCCCACATGGTGACAAATGTAGTCTTTTCCATATCATCTGAATGCATCTTTATTTGATTATAACCTGAAAACCCATCCATAAATGAAAATAGAAAGTTTCCAGCTGTATTGTCCACTAGGGTGTCTATGTGTGGCAGAGGGAAATTATCTTTCGGACTGGCCCGATTAAGATCCCTGTAATCAACGCACATACGGACTTTTCCATCTTTCTTTGGTACTGGAACAACGTTCGCTACCCATTCTGGATATTTGGCCACTTTTAGGAACCCGACATCAAATTGTTTTTTTACTTCTTCTTTAATTTTAAGCAGCATTTCAGGTCGCATCCTTCTGAGCTTTTGTTGTACCGGTTTACATTCGGGCTTTATTGGCAATTTATGTACCACTAACTCAATGTCTAAACCTGGCATGTCCTCATACGACCAAGCAAACACATCTATGTACTCTAGAAGCAGCTCAATCAGACTTTGTCGTCCCTCAGCAGATATGATAGTGCCAATTTTTATCTCCTTTTTATTTTCCTCTGATCCCAGATTCAAGATTTCAATGGGATCTTCATGAGGAAGAATTTGTTTATCTTCTCTCTCTACCATTTTTAGTAGTTCAGAAAGTAAGTCACTTCCCTCGTCATTATCATAACCTTCAATTTCCCCTTGACATATGGGCAGCTCGAAATCTATCTTCGGGTCAAAGTCATCAGTATTCATACTATTGATACCAGAGGTCCTGAAAGAATAACAAACGAGAGGATATATATACATATACAAATACAGGAGGATCTAACCCATATCAAAATAGAATGAAATAATAATATATAATAAAGAAATAAATAAAAAATGCAATAGATGATGTTTGCCATTTCGTGAATTAACAGGAATCCATCATTTATTAAAATAAAAAAGCAGATAGATTAACCCCTTACAGAAGATCACATATTGTCCCGGGGTTTAGACAATAGGGAAAGTTTTTGTGCATTACTCTGAAATAGTTTTGTAAACTACATATAATTCTTCTGCAGTCCAATTGTTTAGCACAAAGCCTGGTGGTGCGGGGTAAATGCCCATAGCCACTCCGTCTTCGATTCCTTCCTCTGATATCACATTTATACCCAAATCCCTCAGGGCATTTTCAATAACAGGCTCTTTAGATGATCGGTCCCCCTGAAACATGTGGCCCCCTTATATGAAGGTGTCACGCAGCGATGGGAAAATCATAGGCTCCCACTTAATATCCTCCCTGGCTAACCTGGCTCTCCTCTTTTCCTGGCACTTTTGAACATTTTTCAATTTTTCCTTTAAAGTCGGGCGATATCCTAGACCAAAACGATCTAGCTTAAAACCGGGAAAAGCTGGACTAATATTCCCCTGTAAGCGACTCCCTAGCCCTCTTCCAACCTTAGCTCCTCTTCCCAGGGTCATTTTCAGTCCCATTTTGGTATAGTTTGATAGCCTAGGCTTTGGAATTTTCTTTCTTTCAGCAACAAATGTGGCATTAATAAATTCCAGGACTCTGAAAGTGCACTCGACTGCATCTTCATCTACTTCAACATATTGAGCGGTAGTAGATATGGAAGCAATGATATCTTCCTCGGCATTAATGCATACCAATCTCCCCTCAATTACAAATTTGAGTTTTGATGCAGAGTAGATGGAACGACTCCTGCCTGGTGGATCCAAGGCGTTCCTAACAAACAGTTATAGGAGGGCATTATATCCATTACAAGGAATTCGACCTCGTAGGTTGATGGGCCTATGGTTAAAGGAATATCGATCTTCCCTAAACTTTCTTCTTTGTTCTATCAAAAGCTCGAACGATGCTTTGGCAATTTCTCATGTGTGTACTATCGACCGGTAGTTTCTTCAAGGTTACTAATGGCATCACATTCAGGGCAGAACCGTTGTCAATTAGTACTCGCGATAACACATGTCCCTTGCATTGGATGGTAATGTACAGGGCTTTGGGATTGCCCATCATTCCGGACAGGATCTCGTCATCAGAGAAAGAGATAAAGTTATCCGCCTGAATATTTGCAACCAGTCGGTCTATTTTTTCCACTGGTACATCTTTCGGTACGAAAGTCTGATTCAAGATTTTCAACAAGGCGTTTCGATGTGCCTCAGAGCTTAATAGTAAAGCTAGGATTGAGATACGAGCTGGAAATTTGTGTAATTGTTCAACAATGCTATATTCGCTATGTTTCAAGAATTTTAAAAACTCTACAGCATCATTTTCGGTTACAGGCTCATTAATTGTCGGCTCATCATTTTTCAATAATATCTCAACCCTTTTTCCTTTATCAACGGTCGTCATTTTCTCGGGTTCACTGGTCTGGTTGGGAGAATAACATCTCCCACTTCTGGTGAAATGGCCTACCTCGTCCACCTCTTCCTTAGCAACCTCTGAACTCTCAACATTCTTTAATTGGCATCCATACCTCCAAGGTACCTGCTTGTTGTCCTTATAAGGAAAGGACGACGGAGGCGTGATCACTATTTTAGGGATTAACCTTTCCATAGTCTGGGCTTTCGGTGTGATGACTAAAGGGCAGTTAGTATTGTAAACTCCCTTGGATGTGCCTTCGGAAGCGCAAATCTCAATCTCTTTCTCTTTCGTAGCTTCATGGTAAAATTCCATATCTTTACTATCTATCAGCCTTTGAACCAAGGCCTTGAACTCATCAGAGTTTTGAATGACATGATCCTCGCAACAGTGGTAGGGGCAAGCATGCTTATTTTCGTTAGCATTAAAGGTCAACCAGCCTATTTTGACCATTTTCCCCCATACCCAATGCATGGATGACTTCACTTCTTTGACTTTGGTAATGACTCCGTTCCCTTTTTCTTCAATAACAGCATTAACCCCTGTCCCTGTATGATTCGGGAGTGGGTTCTGAGCCACATTGGGTTGCTCACTGTCACCGAAATTGATGACATTTCTTTGTCTTAATCTATGCACCAACTTTTTAAAGGCCGGACAGTTTTCAATTGAATGCCCCGATGCCCCCGCATAATACTCACATTGAGCATTGATGTCAAACCATTTTGGGTAAGGAGGCTGTATTGGAGAAGTGTGGTAAGGTGACACCACATGTTTATCATACAGGATCTGGAATAGTTCTTTATAGGTCATGGGGATAGGGCCAAATTGAACCCTTTCCCTTTCCTGTCTTGGTTCTTTCGCCCTTTGCTGGACAGGATTTAATGTTGACGATACAGTGGCTTGTGGTTGAGATACTGTAATGTTATTAGAATCATATTTCTTCACATTACTGACCTCATTATCCTTCCTTCTTGCTGGAGGCTTTCGGCTAGATTCTCCCCCGTCTAGCTTCCCGCTTTTGATCGCCATCTCAATCATTTCTCCTGCGTTGACTATATCAGCAAAAGTTTTGGACGAATTTCCAATACGATGTCCAAAGAATGGGGCCCTCAGAGTATTTACAAAGAACATATTAGTTTCTTCCTCCTCTAATGGTGGATGAACTTGTACAGCCATATCTCTCCACCTTTGGGCATATTGCCTGAAGCTCTCATTGGATCTTTTTTCCATACTCTGTAACAGAATTCGATTCGGCCTCACATCTTTTACGTGCTTATATTGCTCTAGAAAAGCCTTAGCCAAATCCTTCCAGGATTTAATCTGAGCTCGGCTTAACTGATTGTACCAACGGACTGCTGAGCCTGTCAGGCTCTCTTGAAAACAATGAATTAATAGCTGATCGTTTCCCACATAGCCTTTTATTTTTCTGTAAAACATGGTAATGTGTGCAGAAGGACAACTGGTGCCATCAAATTTCTCGAAGTCTGGAACTTTGAACTTCGGTGGCAACACTAAATCAGGGACTAGACTTAGCTCTCTGGCGTCAATTCCATATAAGCTAGCATCTTCTTTCATAGCTCAGAATTCATGCTTCATTTGTTCCCATTCTTTCTTAATCTCCTTATCCTGTTCTTTTTTGTCTTCCTCATCGAGATCAGGGACATCTTTAATTGGTTGCGGGTTTGTAGAAGAGCCAGGTAGGTTTACTTGTATTTTTTTCGGTTGGATGATCGTGGCTTGTTGTGCGTGGATATGCGGTGGTGTGAAACCAGGGGGATATAATGGTTCCTCGGAAGTATGACCGATAACTGGAGTCTCTTCTCGGATTATACTATTTCCTTGTAGCAAACTAATCAGCTTTGCCATCATGTCGTCTTGAGCCTTCATCATCTGTTCGCGCATATCCTCTTGCGCTTTCTTTAAATTCTCTTGCATTTCAGCTTGAATTTTTTCAATGTGTGCGATTTTGTCATCCATTTTCTTGGTTGATTGACGAGTACCGTATGGGTGTGAGGTGTATGCCAGAATAACTACAAATGATTGGAAATTGTATTTTATTATTTGTTGAATTTTAATGAATGAATTGTTATAATATATCATTAAGATTTTGAAAATTTAGAAAAAAAAACATATGAAAATGCTAATGCAAATGCAACCCGATATTGATTCCAAAATAACTTAGTTTATAAAAAAAGTACTCAACAACACACAACGTCTAAGCACTTAGGCAAAGAGATTATATTGATATGATTACTAAACATAGAATCTTGCCCTATTCCCTAATCTCTCGAGCTCTATCATCAATCCCATGATGCGGCGTTCTTCCTCTGATTCTGGAATCACAAAAACTCTTAAAGCTGTCGCTTCTTCATATAATTCATAAACTTGGCAAGCTACATCGCGAGCCTGATCCACTGCTCTCTCCATTGCTTCATGTTGCGTTTGAATGGTGTCCTGAGCCTGTCGTAGAGCAATTCCAAGCTCTGGATTAGTTAATGGTCGGCTCTCTTCTAGCTGTTGGATTCGCTGATGAGATCTATGCACTATGACTTCTAACTCAATAATCTTGGCTTTTAAGGCCTCGTTTTCTTGCATGGTTACCTCTTGTGCAGATGAGTGGATCAACCCTTCTCTTTCTAGCTCAACTGTCTTCTTCTTTAACATTTCATTTTCTTTTTGGAGACTGTTGTAAGGGTTCTGAAAAGTCTCATCGATGCTAAGCAGTTGTGCTTCGAGTTGTTCAATCTGTGCTCGCCTTTGTGCTAATTCTTGGTTAGCCTCATCTCTTTGCTCTCTCAGTTTCCGAGAATGTTGTTGGGCTCATTTCTTTTCTTCTTGGCCTCTTCTTGCGCTTCTTTCTACCCTATCGAGTTTTATCTTTAGGGTCTTGGCAGTATGATGTAGACCTTGGGCTCTCATATTCCTCTCTAATGCCCGAAAATCTTCGTTTAGCGCATCAAAATTCTCCTGGACCTTTTCTTTCTCTTTGGCCAATTGTTTTATCACTCCGTCCTTCTTAATCATTTCAAGTTCCCATATTGTTTTCTCCTCCGAAAAGCTTCTCTGTTCTTTTTCTCTCTCCAAATTCATCAATCGCATTTCCTCTTTTAACAACTCTGTTTCTGTTGGGAGCTTCCTCAATCACTCCTCCATGGTCAATTGGTCCTCTAAATTTGGCTTAGGTGTGTTGTTATTAATTCTTTGCGACCTCCAAAACTCATAGGCCGGCGTGAATACAGACTCTATCATCTTAAAGCTCATGCATTGAGGCTTCTGCCAAGCCGCGTAGATCTTTGAAATCGCTCTCGGTAACCCGGAGTAGAAAAAGAAAACTCGGCCTCTTTTAGGCCGTGGGTAGCTGGTACGAACTGTCGGGTACCAAACTGTCTGAGTACAATTAGCGGAGTATACCCGATAGCTCCCCATAATCCGTGTAGCATTATAAAACTATCATTACCGCACCTGAAAAGTATGTCCTCTTTGGGTAACCAATAAGCCTTCCATACTATCTCAATATCTTTCATGTTACGGAGAGCTTCAACCCAGTCTTTCCTCTTGCGATGCTCTGGAATTTGGCATTTATCGAGGAAATCCACTAGAGGCGAAAAATTTGATTGATGTCTCCGAGCCCAGCCTTTCTCGACTATCCAGGAGTGGCTCCACCACCAAACTAGTAACATTGAGGCACATCCAACGAATTGACCTCCTCCCAATCATCTACACTGGTTCAGTGACAAAAATGTTTCCGCAAGGATGGCTGGTGCGGGATTCTTTCTAGCGATAGCTTCGACGAAATCGATTAAGGCGATGTCGAAGTGATCCTCGTTCCTAAGGAAAATTACCAAACCATATATTGCAAGTGCGAAGTGATCTCTTCTTCTTTTCGATGGAGTTTGCTCGTAAATTAAACTCTTCAGCTGAGCCCAGGAGATCCCCTCATCACGAATGTATTCTTTGACCCACTCCTTGGTCTTTCTCGTCAACATGATCATTTTGGTTATGAACCCTTTAGGTTGAATTGCCTTGGTGTAAATGGAATGTCTTATAACATTCGGGATGTTCAGAAAAGCCGTATACTCCTCTAAGGTAGGGGTCATATCTACTTTACCGAAAGTGAAACACCTGTAAGCTGGATTCCAACATTCGGCAAGGGGTCGAATCACCACTGGATCTATTGGTACTCTCAGCAGCTCTACGATGTCACCGTATATCCCTCTGAACAATGTCTTCTCATTATCATCCCAGGTGGACCAAATTCTTGATAACTCAGCCCAGTGTACATGCCTGATCCGAATAATTACCTTTTCTGGAAAAACTAAATCTTCGGTAGTGGCAAGGCTGTCCCCGAACCGTGTCTTTCCGTATTCAGACCAGGTCTGAACTCTGATTGCATTCTCAATCCCATCGAAAGACATTGTCGCCTTAAGCTTTTTATAATAACTAGGTAATCTGAGAATCAATACCGTTTATGAAATGATGTGATATGATAATGATACATGCAATCAGGAAATAAAGCAATAAGTTAGTGATATTAGAGTAATTCAAAAAATCAAAGAATAATTAGTAAAAATTTAAAGTATCGAATGCAAAATAATCAAAGAAAATAAAAAATCCTAACATCATGCGATCTAGTTCTTCTAAGTTATCTGCATGGCTTTAACGAGGTAGGCTTACTAAATTCTTTATATGAGGTTGGGTTCTAGCAAAAGGTTCCTAAGCCATCTTTACAACCTGCTAAGGTTGACCCCAATTCTGGCCCATTACAGACTTGCGAATCGGGTTCAGCTCAGGGGATCACACCACTAAAAGCGTACCTCGGAACTGATATCCGGATAGGCAACTTAGGGTGCTTTCCAGAGATACTTTGTCAGACCCACACAAGGAAGCCCAATGCTCCTCGTGAGGTGTGACGTTTCTCTCTACTTAAGTATACTAGGATTGAGCTCATGTTTAGAGCTATGATATGCAACAATTCTAAATATTTCACAGAAGTGTAAGCATTAATCAGAGAGAATTTTTTTTTTTGCCTTTTGAAATAACATAATGAATCGTAAAATAAACAAGATCGAACTCATAATTTCCAAATAATAAATATAAGGTAACCAACTCGTGGCTCGACTCTCAATTTGTTTTAAAAACAAAGATCCCCAGCGGAGTCGCCAAGCTGTCGTAACCGTTTTTTCGCCCAGAAGGGGAAAGATCGTGCCGACGGGTTTTCTCTTTGAAAATTGTTTCGAAAGGTGAAGAGTCGCCACCAATCATTTGAGGTGTGATTGGAACACCGTAAAAACCGGGTGATTTTAATAAAACTTTTTATTTTTATCAAAATACCGAGTTTTGGGGTCTGCGAAAATCCAGAAATCAGGTTCGGGAGTCAGTTACGCATGGGGAAGGATTAGCACCCCCATAAGCGCCCAAAAATTGGTACCTAGTTAATTACCTTATATTTAAAATCGGAAATTTTGAGTTCGATCTTTATTTAATTTAAAAATCATTAAGGATGCAGAGTTTGAAAAGGGTATTCGTTTATTGAGACCGATAGCATTCGCTCCCGAGCTTAAATGCGGGAGATCAGCTATTTTGTCTAATAACCGAACATTGCCTCATTTTTAGAAAACATGATGTGATTTTAAAAAAAAAGATGTCGACTTATTTGGGGAATTACCAGTAGTCACCCCCTGAGCACGATCGCGGAGGATATACTATTAATTTCTTAATAAGTGAACAGTGCCTTAGATTTGTAAAAACAACGCAATCAAATAAAATTTTATTTGTCCTAATTAACTAAAAGTAAATCAAGGCCTTTTTCTAACTTAAAATGTCAAATTATGAAAATTAAGGAACATAGGGGCTCAAATCTAAAATGTAAGTTCTAGTATTAATACTTAATGTTATATATTAAAATAGATTAAATATTCACGTATTAGAAAGTTTCTTTCGATAATTATAAAATGATCGAATATTACTCTTAGTCAATTTATTTCAAATCGAGTTAAGTGATATTAATGAAGATATCTTATAAGATTTATTATGACTAATATAAATTAATATGAAAACAACATGCAAAATTAAAATAAAAATAAAAGTAAGACTAAAACATAAATAATTAACAGTAAGCCTTGCAATCAAATAAATAAAATGGAACTTCAAGAATTAAGGTGATGGCCAAATTGAAT